CAGGAATGTGGCATTCTAACCATAGCTCGTGAAAGACGTGACCGCAAGCAGAGATCGATTGCAGGTGCTCGACGACCGGTTTCAGATCTTCGTAGCAGATGGAACAAATCGGACTTCCCATCGCGTTATCACTGGACAAATCTCCGTCTATTGCGATGCCAACCCTACGATTCTCGTATTCAAGTTTTCGCTCATTCGTTTTCTTGGTAAAATAAAAGGAAGAACGTATGAGAGAGAGAGAGAGAGAGAGAGAGAGAGAGAGAGAGGAAATTAATTAACAAAAAAAAAATAGAAAGAGAGAGGAGAGAGAGAGCGCGCTATAAAAATATTTTGAAATGTCTGGTAAGGCGCGAAATCGGTGACATTGGACCCGACAAAAGTCCTTATTTCGTCGTCCCAAACTCTTAATCCCTATGGGCCTTCCGGCCCATAACGTACGAACCATAATTATCATGATAAAACACAACAAATTCAAAAGTATGAAAATGAAAAACCAACTAATTTTTTTTATATAAATACAATTGACCGTAAGATATATGTGTATGCATTTATCTGGACCTTCTAAATATCTATATTGAAACTTTTGCATACATTTCACCGGGTCGCACATAAATATTTAAGACATTATTACCAAACAAGCAAAAGCCCTATTTGGTCGGCCCATTTCTTAACTCCCATGCGGGCTTCCGACACATAACGGTACGACCCATAATTATAGTGATAAAAACCATAACAAATTCAAAAGTATGAAAATGAAAAAACAACTAAATCTTTTCAAAAATAATTGACCTGTAAGATATATGTGCGGGTATATAAATATGGACCTTCTAAATATCTATTTAAATTTTTTGCATACACCGCAAACATTTCTACTTCCAATTAAAAGCTAATTTGCCTATGAATCATCTCGGGTATGTATAAATTTAATTTATTTGTGCATTGACACAATATCACAACTTTTTATTTTTGTCATTACCACATATATCACATTTTTTAAAAAATGTATTTATTTATTTTATTATTTACTATCTTCAGTAGTTTCCCCTATTTCCAAAGAATGGCTGTTTTTACTGACCTATAGAACATGTAGTGAGATGAGATGGGGACCAAAAAGAAATACGTATCATTCGCACTAATTGGGGTTAACCGACTTCATTTAAAATTGCATTAAGCTGTAATTACTAGTTACCTTGCCGACAAAACACGCATTTGCCAAACAATGATAACGTGATTAGATATCCATGTTAAAGTTTTTTTATTAGTCAAACACAATGGTTTAACAAATGTTGACTTTTTATCGTTTCTTGTTTATTTTATTACGAGATTTTTAAAATATTGCGTGGATGGAAATTACGAGGGTATATTTTTTAAAAATATGGTGTGGGCCCACGCGCTTTCATACCGCCTCGTGCAGCCCACTTGAAGCATTTTTCTGAAGCCCATCAACTGCGTTTCACGTGGACTCGGTTAGGCGAACTTCGACCGTTGGATGAATGAATAAGAAAAGTTAGATCGTGATCTGGCCGTTGGATGAATACATCCTCGACCGTCCGATCTCTACATCACGAGTAGAGAGATTATGGAAACGGCATGACAGGACCCGCGAGATCTGCCAGCTGTCGAGTTTCCACGAATCCTACTTAACATCGCTACTCGCGATATGGACCATTGATTTGGGAAGGTGGTCAACCTTTTACTCCGGAGAAAGGTTTAGCCTGATGGCACACGCACTGGAAGTATTTCCAAACATTTTTCGTGTTATTATCAAAGTTCATATCTCCTTTAACATTTGTCATCTCACAAAAATTCTAAATAAATATGAAAAGAATAATAAAATAAAGTATTTTATTATAATTTCCTGACAAATTAATATCGTTAACATACAATTACAGCGAACGGTTCAAATAACAATAATGTAATATAGAGTAAATATTTTAGTCGCCCATTGCGCGTGAGAACGCGTTGACATTTAGGCAAGTGAGCTGAGCCAAACGGAGAGGATCACCGTATTCAAAGCCTTTGACATTTCTTGAAAGTCAAACTATATACCAGAAACCGGAAACCACTTGTGGTATTCTTCTCCACCACCGAAACACGGAGAGAGAGAGAGAGAAAGGAACAGGATAAGCATCGAGATGCCCAAGCACACACTCTCTCTCTAGATTTGTGAAAAGAGTGAAAAAGCACACTCATTCTCTCTCTACACATACGTGTGTCCACATATATACACATTTGAAATCGTCTACACCATTGAGATTCCGACCATCCTAAATGACAGTACCCATCAACCAGAAAGAACTTTGTGAATTTAGACCACACATCTAGAATAACTGCGTGGTTAAAATTACACAAAGCATAAGTGCATTATTATTATTATTATTTCTATTTTATTGTTTTTAATAATTCTCTTTTCTTTTACAAAAAAATAATAATTCTTTTTTCATTTTCAACCCCTTTCACGTTCTCCATCCTTATCTCTCTATATATTCTTTAAAAAGTCAGCGCTCTCTTTTGTCTCCTCTGCACTTCTCTCTCTCTTCCCAACAAAATTTGCAGAGGCAAAGGTACAAAGGTTTGTCTCCGGCGAGCTATGGAAGACGACTGGGACCTGCACGCGGTGGTCAGAGGCTGCGCCGCCGTCTGCTCCTCCGCCGCAACCACCGTATGCTCCGCCGCTCTCCAGCAAAACCCCATCTTTTCTCCAGTTTCCGCCGAACGACAAAATGGGTTCTCGAGAAACGCCGTCTTCGGAGAGGTCCGAGATCTCTACACTCCCTTCAGACAAGATCCAAATGTCTCCGTCTCGTCGTTTTCTTGTCTGAATTACACAGAAGATCCGAGACAGCAACGGCAGTCGCAGTCGCAGAAGCGTCCTCTCTCGGTTTCCGTTTCTTCCGGTAGTGTCACCAGCAGACCCGCAAGCTCCAATAACTCCAGATCTAAAAGAAGGTTCGATTATTGTCTGGCACAAACTTTTTTTATGGGGTTTCTTCTTCTTTTTTTCCCTGGAAATGTTTTAACAGGGCATGATTAATTTTCCTTACACTGTTAATTAATCCATGTTCCCTTTTCCTTGGTTCTGCAAACAAAACAGAAAGACCCAGCAGAAGAGGGTATGCCATGTAGCAGAAGAGGCTTTGAACTCCGACGTCTGGGCATGGCGGAAGTACGGACAAAAACCCATCAAAGGTTCTCCTTATCCCAGGTATATACATCATAAGTTCAATTTGTTTCTCGTGATTTTTTTTTTTAAAAAAAATGCTTTTTCTGATGAAAAGTTTAAATCTTTAGCATTGTTATCGAGTCTTGGAGACTTTCAAGGAAATTCATTTATGTTTGTAGTGTTTCGAGATGGGTTTAAGACAGAACTTTGTCTGCTTTTTGTTGTTCTGCTTGCTCGATTTCAGATAACCATGTTTCTATTTCGATAAAGCATCCTAATTAAATTATTTATTTTTCCCCCAAAAAAAAACAGGGGATATTATAAATGTAGTACGTCGAAGGGGTGCTTGGCCCGGAAACAGGTGGAGCGGAACAAATCGGACCCGACGGTGTTCATCGTCACGTACACGGCGGAGCACAACCACCCGGCTCCGACCCACCGCAATTCCCTCGCCGGAAGCACCCGCCAAAAGCTCTCCGACCACCCCAACGCCGCCGCAGAATCCGCCAAATCCCCCGCCATCTCCGCCGTCTCCCCGTCATCTCCGGTTACCTCAGCCGATGACTTGGCCCTGCCGGTGGAAGATCTGGCGATGGGAGATCTCGACGGGGACGATGATCTCCTGTCGCTGTCGGACACGGTGGTGAGCGACGATTTCTTCGAGGGGTTGGAGGATTTTGCCGCCGGAGACAGCTTCTCCGGCAGCTCTCCGGCTAATTTTGGCCTTTCTTGGATAGCCAGCGACGCCGCGGCCACCGCCGGCGGCATCTGATGCGCCGGATAAACCAGGGGTTCTATACAAAGTGTTTGGCATAGTATACTCTTTAGGAAAGAGAGATTCTTGGAATTATTCTCGGATTATGTAAAGAAAGATAGGACGAAATGTTTTATTTTTTATGCTTATTTTTCTCCCTTTTTCTAATTTTTGAAGGTTTTTATTTTGCATAGCGTGTTTTTATTCCATTTATATAAAATTCTAGATTATTATATGCATGTAAATTTTATAAAAGGAACAGAAGTTGGCTGTTTAAGTCCTAAATCATATGTAAGTTTTTTCAATTAGTTCCACTTGTTTTTTTATATAGACTGGAAATTATCTATTTAAGTTTCGAACCCAGTTCTAATAAATTTAAATAAAACTTCTTAATTAATTATATTCAGACAATTTTAGATTATTGATCAAGTCACACTAAATAATGCATCTAATGTATACATGTACATATACTCAAACAACATGCATGGAAAAAGAGCAAGATGTAAGGATTTGGCACACACCTTTCTAGGGGGGTTTCCGTCCATATCGCGAAATTGATTGTTAGTGGAATTTTTAAACTACAAAACATAGATGTATTAACATGTTGACATTTATTTTGGTAGGAAATTAATTGCCTTGTTATTATTACTTTTAAAAAGAATAATATCGTGAAAGTCTTAACAATAAATGCGAACATGGGGTATCAAGTTTTCTTATAAACGTATTTGATTTTTTTTTTTTTTGGGTCGTCTTATCATGTATTTGATTATTCAGACTGCGTATATGCCAGGTTTCTCCCCATCCAGACAATTATAAATGCATATGCATGTATCTCGAATTGTATAGTACATTTTTATTCAATTTTTAAAAATCGTGCGTCTTGTATTTTCATAAATATCGGTATGTGTTATTCTCATTTAGATATTTGAGGTATAGAAATTTCCCGAATATTTATGCAGACGATCATATGAAAATAATAAGAAAAAAATACAAACAACCATGATAAATTAATTAATGATCCAAGTGTTTTTTTGTTACGGGAGAATGTGCAGTGCATGTGGTGACGGTAAAACAACGTGTCGTTTGCTCCTTTCACGAGAGACTGGCGTGCCGTTTTTATAATGGGTCTACAATACTTGGGCCTTCTGCAGGCCCATATATGATGAACCAGCGCCTTTGGTGCATCTATCTTCCGTGCACCATGCCACGGGAGATCATAACCCACCACTACCGACGACGACGTAACGAAGCTCGATTCGAGATTCGAAGAAAGTCGGTCCAATAAATAATATGGCATCTTATATTAATTTCGCCATGCTTGATTTCCGAAAATATTGAAAGGAATTATATTTGGATATTCCTTATAAACTCTTATTCTCTCAATATATTTTCTACAAAGTTCACGCAAGAATATCTTACTTTTCCCACACAAATCTTTTATAATATTCATGTAATAATAAACTCTTATAACTATTCCAATATAAAAGTATAAAATACAAAATAAATATAAGAAAACCTCACGCAATAAAATATCTTTTACCAAAACAATGTAAGAAAATGTTTAGTATCGACATCGTTTTTTGACTGCAGACAGAAAAATCTTATCGGCAGCTGTATTAATATCGTTTTTTATTTGCGGTTTTGATTTATAATAAAACACCAAGCAGAGAATAAAGATGTACATGAGACGTGTTATAAAAAAAACGTTACACTTGATCGACACGTTGCGGACGCACAAACTCGAGGCTAAAAAGGGAAATTCTCACTCATGCGACCCCATTATAAATATTGACTTTGGACCGACCTAATCTGATATCTATCTTAGAACAACGGGTCCTCGCATTATAGTCTGAAAACCTTGTATTATACACTCCAAAGGATAAAAAAAAGAAATTCGATGGCGCAGTTGCTGGAGAAGGCGAAGGAGTTCGTGGCGGAGAAAATAGCGGGAATACCGAAACCAGAGGCTACGGTGACGGACGTTGACCTAAAGGACGTGAACCGCAGCTCAGTGGAGTACCTCGTCAAGGTCTCCGTCACCAATCCCTACCCTCACCCTCTCCCCATCTGCGACATCACCTTTTCTCTCAAAAGCTCCGGCCGGTAACTATATATCGTATCTGTAAATACAAGCGTATGCGTATAGTATAACAAGCTATCTATCTAAACGTATAGTATTGATTCAGCGTATATATATATGTATATGTGGGTACGGAACGGATGCAGAGAGATAGCGAGCGGGAAGATACCGGACCCGGGGTCGTTGAAAGGGAAGGACGTGACGGAGTTGGACGTGCCGGTGGTCGTACCGCATAGCATAATCGTAAGCCTGGCTCGAGACATCGGCTCGGATTGGGACATCGACTACGAACTGCAACTCGTTCTCATCATCGACCTCCCCATTGTCGGCAACATCTCCATCCCTGCCTCCAGCAAAGGCGAGATCAAGCTCCCTACTCTCAAGGACATCTTCTGATCTTTTTCCTTTTTAATGACAGTTCATCACTATGTTGTAGAAATAAGATGAGATGATGATGATGGTGATGGTAATGATGATGATGATGATGATGATGATGATGGTGATGTTGTATTCATGTTGTGCCTTTTTCCTTTTAACTTGCGAAAAACATGAGTTTGATTATAATAAATACGTTATGATTCAGGTTTCGTTGAGCGCAATGGTTTCAAATTATAATTTTAACGATGGAATAATTTTATGATATATGAGTAGTATGTACCCTTTTTGTAGGGTGATTGGAATATAATTTTAGAAAAAACAATAAAAAATATTTATAACAACAATTCTTTTTGTTTAATTTTTATTTTTGGTATAGTTAATGTCGTGTAAAATATAATGGCCTTTGAGTTGCGTTTACGAGATGCACATGCATATGTATATGCTAAAAAATACACATAATTATACCATAACATTATCATAAATAATTCGTTAATACGGTAGACGTAATACAAATATTTGATACCTATCTAATAATCTCAAATAAAATTGCGTGCATACTAAATGTCCTGCTCAAGTTGCTGGGCCGTGTATAGTCCCTTAGCCAAAAATTTTGGCCCAAAAATGGGAACAGGGAGCGACTTGACAATTAAAACTTTTCGGGCTTAAATTAAACTTTATAAAAATAAGGGGTGTTCTTTTGTATTTCAAACATTTGGCAACAAAATTACGAAAAGTGGAACCTTCCATTCCAGTTCCCGCATCTCCGGCCGGCTACTTTATTCGAATCCAGGTGGTGGTTGGCCTCTTCTCCCTCGGAGGCTGTACCACCGGAAGCGGTGGCTATCGTAATGGCGTCAATTTTTTGCTGCAAATCTAAGGTTCATCTAGAGCCAAATCGCTCCCGATGATTCTCACTTCTCAGGCTTCTTCATCTATGGGGTCGGGTGATTTCAATCGTTTTGTTTCATGAATAGAAAATTCAGATCCATTGTTAATATTTTTTATCCATAATAGTGGATCTAGAGGAATCGGCTTGATCTTTGCTTGCTATCGAATATTTGGTTTTAATTATACATTTTCCGCCTTAATTTCTGCAACCATTTTCGGTTTCCGCCATCTTAATCGAGTCAAATAGTATTTTGTGGAGTTCTCGAAAAGTCTCTGTGATTTCCATGTGCGTTATGGCTTGCTGGTTAAGCTTGAAAGTATAAATACATCCCGGAATTAAAATAATACACTACAAGCCCTTGGTGAGCCGCAGATGCAGGTACAAGCATAAAATATAGTAAATGCCATATTCAATTACCTTAATACAGTGAATTTTGCATCTCAATGAACTCGGGGTTTTGTTACACAGATAAGAGGATTGTCTCTCTTTTCGTGTTCTTGTGGCTTCTGTTTCTGGTTTCTGAATTTTCAGATGGGAAGATGTTACAGATCTTCTGCAGCAGCTAAAGATTTGGTTTTGTTCTACTGGTAATGTTCACTTCTCTCAGATGCTCTTTGGGTTGATTTCTGTCTGTGTGTACAAAGAGAGTAAAGGATGCGAAAGGTGAATGCTTTGTTGAGGGTTGGAACTTTCAGTGGCCTCAATAGGCCGATATATGTGTTGGCTGGTTTGGCATTTCTCATATCTGTGACCACACTTACCAAATTCAATTACATCACACCGATTAGCATTTCTGACCGGTTCTGTAACTATCATGGAAGCTTTGAAGGTCACAGCAGAGTTGGAAGCCAAACAAGGCAGACCTTAGAGGACGTTGTTCTGAAAATTCAGCAG